GGGCATGATTTGGTGTGTTAGATGTGCCAGGCAAGAAGTCATCATTTAGATGGGAAAGAGCTGTTTGGGATCTTGTGTACATCCTAAGTGTCAACTGCATTAGTTATTTTTTTTTTGCATCCCTGTGACCAAAATATCTGACAGAAACAACTGAAAAGGAGAACAATTTATTCTGGCTTGGTGTTGGAGAGTTTCAGTCCATAAAGGCAGGAAAGACAAGGTGGAAGTCAGTGCATGGTGGCTGGAGCACGAGGCAGAAGCTGTCCTACAGGTAGACCAGGAAGCAGAGAAAAGGGGGTCAAGTACAACCTTGAAGGGTCTGTACCTAGTGACTTACTTCTGTCAGTCAGACCCCTCCTAAAGATTCCACAGCCTCCCTTAACAGCGCCACCAGCTGAAGATACGACTTTCCAACAAGAGCCTCTGGGGGCTGAGTGCATCTTAGATTCAACTCACAAAAGCATCCTGTGGATTAGTTGGAGTACTGCAGAGTCTGCCATGACATGTATATGATCTGTCTTGGCTAACATGACCCCTCCCTCCCTCCCTTCTTCCCTCCCTCCCTCACCCCCTCCCTCCCTTCCTTCTTTTCTTCTGTTTCAAGACAGAGTTTCAAGTGGTACAGTCTGGTTTCCCTCAACCTTACTATATTGCACTTCTAATCTTCTTGCCCCAACCGAGTTCTGGGATTACAGGTGTACGTTACCACACCCACTTTTATGTGGTGCTGGGGCTCAAACCCAGGGCTGCATGCATGCTAGGTGAGTGCTTTCCTAGCTGAGTTACATCCGCATCCCCTCCTCATTTTCACTGGAAAGCAGCATCCCAGCCAGGTGCTACTACCTATGTCCTGCTGTTCCTTTTCTTCAGACATGACTTTGTAGCTAGTCTCTAGGGTTGGAAGATTTGCAAAGACTGTTTATCACCTTCAGCGTGGCCAAGAAAATTTATCTCAGTTGCTTTGTCTGTCTCCATCTCATCATTTGCAGGAGCATCACAAGCGATTAAGGATGGCTCACCTGTGCAGAAGGCATCTGCAAATAAAAATGAAAACTCGGATGATGTCAGGACTCTGGCTAGGAGGAATTCTCATGTTCCTTGAATCTGTCTTCTCCACGGTGCTTCCAGTTCCTGTGGGCGATGCGCTAACTCTTGCAGTCCTGCCCTGCCCCTTTATGCTCTTGTTTACCAGAACTCCCCTGGGGCCAATCTTCCCCTCAGGCAGCCTTCTGGCTGTTCTCATTTCTAGGCAGCTTTCTGTTTGCCAGACATAGACTCTGCAGCATTGAGCCTTCTGTGAGCCCTGCAAAGGTGACCTGGTCTAATGTTCACAGTGGCACCCTTCCAACCCCAAACACCAGGGATGCACATCCTTATCTCTCATTTCACTCAGGCATCAAGATGTTTGAAATTCAGATAAGATGAAACCAACAGATAAGAAGAGCGCATCCATTGAAAGGGTAGCTTTTTATAGACAAAGGGATGTGCAGTGCCACACAAAAATACACGGGGAAGCACAGGCTGGTCAAGAGGCACTGGAAATAAGGGGAATTAGTGAGTGAGATACATTATTGTGTTTGTAAAAATCAATTTTAGAATTAATTAACACTAATAGTTTCAGTGTCTCTCAGGATGGGGTGTTTTTAATGCCTGATACCTGTCTTGGAATGCTGAGGACAGAGAATAATTACCCAAGCCATGACAGGCTCAACAGAGGAGTGGGTGGATGATGTGTGTGGGTTTGGGGGTAGATTCTAGATTGTGTAGTCTGTATAGGGAAACCACAATCACAGATATGTCAGCCAGGTTTAGTTAGAAGAACAAAACTGTCAGAATGGTTTTTTATTTTTCATTTTGGTTTTTTGAGACAGGGTCTCAAGAATGGATATCATATAATGCCTTTATTGGATTGTTTGACACAGTAGGGACTGGGTAGTCCAACAATGACTGTCTGAACATTAGAGAGGATGAGAACCCAGAAGCTGCTCAGTCCGCAAAACTAGACGCCTCAGCTGTCTTTTCTTAAATTATTTTATCGGTGTTTTAGCCTGTATGTATATCTGTGTGAGAGTGCTAGATATCCTGGAATTACAGACAGTTGTAAGCTGCCATATGGGTGCTGGGAATTGAACCCGGGTCCTCTAGAAGAGCAGTCAGTGCTCTTATCCACTGAGCCTTCTCTCCAGGCCCTCCTCAGCTGTCTTAATCTAGTGTGGAAGGCCAAGAGGATTTGTGGAGAGCCACTGACCTTCAATCCACATTGGGAGACTGAAAAATCTGGGTTCTGATGTTAGCAAAGGATGGTTGGTGGTAGAGGCGGCAACCACAGTGCAGCTACACTCACCAGCAAAGACTTAAGCAGACAGGCAAGAGCCAGCCTGCTTTTCTCTCAGGACTTTATCTGAGCAGTGTAATGTAAAGTTCACTCTGGGCAAGAGCTTCCTCCTCCTAATGTTTCTAGGAAATGCACTCTGGATGCTTACTTTTAATTATCAGCTTGACATAACCTAGAATCGCTTAGGAAAGGCATCTCAATAAGGGACTGTCTAGATTACGCTGGATGACAGACATGTCCCTGAGGGGTTATCTTGAATAATGTGAAGATCTAACCACTGTGCGTGGCACCAGTTCCTGAGCACAGGATCCCGGATTGTATAAAAATGGGGAAATGCCTTGAGCACTAGTATTCATTGCTCTTTGATCTTGACTGTGGTTGTAATGTGACTGGCTGCTCCAAGTCCCTGCTGCCTTAACTTCCCCACAATGAAGGACTGTAGCCTAGAACTGTGAACCAAATGACCACTTTCTCCCTCAAATTGCTTTGGTCAGAGCATTTTTTTTTATCATAGTCACAGGAAATGTCCTATCTCTGACAGGTGTGTCCCTTAGTGGAGCCCAGGATCAATCAAGTTGACAACCAAGATTAAACATCATAACAGATGAGTTGTTTAACATGTGATAACATATCTATAAAAGTCCTCTATAGAATTTTCAAGACCTCAAGATGTCAAATCACAAACAAACAAACATATATACTGAAAATACAGGAGTCATGTGCTAGACCTGTTGGTCAGGAATCCACTGGCTTTGAAGAGATACCTGTACTTCACTGTCTTAAATGTAGATGACTTTCTGTAAGGTATTAGGTTTGTAGTAATTTGTTGCAGAAATCATCCCTTAGGAACTCCAAAGAAACCCTTCCCAGGATTTTAGCCTCTAAGATACTTACTTGCTCCTCAATGTTTCTATTTTGGCCTTAAACAACGGGTACACTGAATACTGACATCTAGTGGTACTATCCAGAACTTCAATGAGCTTTCCTTGCACTGTGGTAGCCTGCTTGCTTCTCTTGGAATATTTCAACCTCAGATGTGGAGATTTGAGAGACACTTTTGTTAGGAGTTCACTGGGATCCTTACTCTTTGAGTTATAGAAGTCATCTCTAGACTGCATGACTTCCATAGGGCCCTCTAAATATATTCCTTTTTTTGTCTTGTTTTTAGTTAATTTATTATTGGACAATTTCATACATGTTTATATCACACCATGGTTGTCTTCATTCCCACACACCCTCTCATCTCCCTCCCACCCTTGTTAAATTCCCTCCTCCCTATAGATCCCTTTCTCTCATTCATGTCTTTCGGTTTTGTTTGGAGACTCAGAGTTTAACTATTGGTGTCTGTGTCATCATCCGCTTGGAACTATCTACTGGAACCTGGTGAACTCGTCAGCAAGTCCAGAACTAAAGGCAGTGACTCCCTCTCTCCAATAATTTATCAATAGCCAATGACTCAGCAGAGAGGGTGTGAAATTTACAAACTACAGTATCAACCTGCCTAGCACAATTAGTCCCCTAGTGGCATAGAGGCATGACTCTTACTGGGATAACCAACCACTCTCTAATTAGATTTGAGATAGGCTCCATGGGAGGAAATCCATGCTTGCTACTGTAAATCTAGTCAGAAACACTTGGTTAGTGAACTCATAGGCTCTCAGAGGGAATAATCTACCATTTTCAGCTAAGTTGACATAGCATCACACTACTTTCTAAATATATTTATACCCCTATATAATTGTTACTCAGCCTTAGCCAAAGAACCTTGTCTTTGTGCAGCCAGCAGTGGTGAATGCAGGAACTCATGGCTGAATGGATGCTGAGAATAAGTGACAGCTGAGCTCATTGTTCAGCAAGACACACCTTTCCCTCTAGGGCCATGGTTCTCAATCTTCCTAATCCTGTGATCCTTTAATACAGTAGTACAGAAATTTCTCATGTTGTAGTAACCCAGCCATAAAATTATTTTTACTGCCAATTCATAACTGTAATTTTGATATTGTTACAAATAGTATTGGAAACATTTATTAATCAGAATATTTGACATGTGACCACTGTGAAAGCCTCATTCAACCCTGAAAAGGGTCATGACCCACAGGTTGAGAATCATTGTTCTAGGCTTTAGGGACCATTAGATGAGGAGGCAGAAAGAACGTGAGAGGCAGAAGATAGGGTCATTATATACTATCTTCTGAGTATGACAGATATATCATGAACTTGGAGCAGGTTCTGCTACTTGGGCTGGGTCTGCACAAGACTGGTCTTGTCAATAGAAAGTTCTGGATGGGGAAGAGTCTCAGGGGGCCTCTATATTTAACTTTCCTGCCTGATACATTCTGTGGGGTGCTGCAAAAAGCTGCCATGCATCTGGCTTCTCTAGATGGGAAAAGTGAATGGGGAAATTCTAGAATGACCTTAAAGTTGTCTTTCAAACTTCAGCTATCTTAGTATATCCTTGCTTAGTGAGGAGAGCAAAAAATGGATGGAGAGAGAGACAGAGAGGGAGAGGTCTGGTTTTAGTGTCGTTCCCACCATATTGATCAGGAATGCTATCAAGGAGGCAGCACCCCCGTCACTTCGTCTAAAACCAATCACCCCAAAATGTACCCCTTATAATGCCACTTCATTCATGGTTGGGATTAATGATATAAATTTATTGTTTTGTCAGAGGAGAGTGAGAACACAGTCCTCCACTCCCACAAAGTATACAGTCAGCTTCCCAAATTCCGGGAAACTGCAGGGCCAGCACATCTGGAGTGTAATGGATAAACTTCATCCTGGGGAAACCACGTGTGATCATGGTATCTCCCTGGCCATATAAGTATCATGACATAAATTTCAGATATAGAATTCAGAAGAGACTGTGCCCTTCTCTTGGCTCTGGGTGCAATGGTGGTGGGTTGGGAACAACACACAATCCCATGTGACTACACATGTGGAAAGAATGATGATATTACATGGATATGGAGGTCTAATGGGGCATAACAAGGGAGACCTTTTATAGAATAACCAGGGGAAGTATTTAAAAAGTTTTTTTTATTTTAAAAAATGATTTATTCATATGAATGTTTTGCCTGTATGTATGCATGGATGTAATACCCACGAAGGCCAGAAGAGAGCAGCACAGCTCCTGACACTGGAGTTATCAACAGTGAGCCACAGTGAAGGTCCTGGGAACTAAACCCAGGTCCTCTGAAAGGGCAGCAAGTTCTCTAAACTGCTGAGCCATTTCTCTAGACTCCAGGAGAGATGCTTTGAGGTAGAAACAAAAGGTGGTAGAGGGAGCAGGAGAAGAAGCTATGGCTAGTGGGTGTCAGCAGTTGCAACCAAAGACACAAGGCAAGACTGAAGACTCTGATGGCATTTTGGTGAGTGCTAGTTGGGTGAGCTGGAGAATTGCTAAAGCATGGGTCTGGGAGCAGGCAGGGTGAATGCCACAGTATTCTAAAGTATGGTGGCTGGGAGTTCAGAGTATATTTTCGGGCACCAGAAGCTGCTGGGTGATTCCAAGCACAGCAGTAAGATTCTGAATGGAACTTGGCAGGAAATGTGTGTGGGCTTTGCTGCAGATGCGTTAGCTTCAGCAGGTGAGATAAAAAAATTAAATCATTTTATTTATAGCATGACAGGCGTGCAGGCGTGGAGCAATTTGCCACCAACTAAGGAGAAAGACAGTCAAACCTAACAGTTCCTGGATTTTAAAATGCACATCTTGTCTGTCTTTCTGTCGATTTCCCTTGCAAGCTCATTGGAGAGTGCAATGAAATAATTTTAAGAAAAATATTGTGTCAGGTGTGGTGGCACATGTCTTTAATCTCAGTCTTTGGGAGGCAGAGGCAGGTTGATGGAAATAAGTTCAAGGCCAGCCTACTTCTCTCTATGTCAAGTTCATGGACAATCAGAGCTATATATAGAGATCTTGCATAAAAGAAAGGAAGAAAGGGAGGAAGGGAAGGAGGAAGAAAGAAATGAAGGGAGGGAAAGAGGAAGGGAAGGATGGATGGATGGATGAATGGAGGGAGGGAGGGAGGGAGGAAGGAAGGAAGAAAGGAAGAAAAGATTGGCTAGAAGCCCAGAGGGTGAGAGGAAGCCACACTAGAGCTGATTTCATGGAGGAAGGAAATTTACAAGTAGGGTCCTCAGCGTCAGATGACTCCTTTGAGATAGGGCTTTATGCCAGCTTTTTTGCTAGAATTGCGATATCCTAAGTACTTTTCATGACCAGAGAGATGACTTAGTGGGTAAAAGCACTTGCCTTGCAAGCCTAAGAAACCATGTGGCAAAGCCAGATGCTGTGGTGGGATGTGTGTGAAATCCTAGTATTCCTACAGTGAGATGGGAGGCAGAGTTAGGGGAATTACTTGGAAGGCTATGAACCAGATAGGCTGGATAACATCATGGCAGAAACAAGAGGAACTCTGCCTCAAAAATGCAGGAGCTGAAAACCAACACCTAAAAATTATCCTCTGAGCTCTACATGCACATACACACGCTGCTATAATTGTGTGTGTGTGTGTGTCCTTGATGCATGTGCATTTGAGTGTGAGAGTGTACCTGTCACAGCACACATGTGGGTGCCCACTTTAGATGTTGGTCCTTGCCTTCTACCTTGTTGGAGGAAGTGTCTCTTTGTTTGCTCCTATGTACGCCAGGACAACTCACCCTCAAACTTCCCAGGATTCTCTTGTTTCCATTTCCCATTCTGCTATAGGAGTGCTGGGATCACCGGCCTATTCTACCCTGCCCAGCTTATATGGGTATAAGCTTATAGGGATCTAAGTTCAGGTTATCACACTACGTGGTAGGAGCCATCTCCCCAGGCCCATAGAATGTTCTGCGACATAGAGAAGCAACTCTCTACTCCTTTGTCCCCTGATAATCTGCTTTTTGACTCTAAGTTTGCCTTCTGGGCATTTCACATGGATCAGAATCATGCAATCCATGGCCTGTGATAGCTTCTTTCTTATCACAGAGCAAAATATTTTCAAGGATCCTCCAACGACAGGGAATGGTGCAAGTAAGTTTTTGTCAACCCGACACAACCTGGGAAGGGGAAACTGCTATAAAGGAATTTCCTCCACGAGACTGGTCTGTGGTCATGTCTTTGGGGGGCATTTTCTTGATTGTTGATTGATGTGTGAAAGGAGGTTCCCCCACTTTGGGCAGTGTCATTCATGCACAGAAGGTCCTTGGGTGTATACGTGTCTTAGTTCAGGTTTATTCCTGTGATGAGACACCATGACCACAGAAACTCTTATACATTAAAACATTTAATTGAGGTGGCTCACCTAGAGTTTCCGAGGTTCAGTCCATTATCTCCAAGTTGAGGAGCATGGTGGCTTAGAGGCCGATGTGGTGCTAGAGCTGAGAGTCCTACATCTTGACTCACTGAAGGAAGCTTGAGAGAAAGAGACCTTAAGGCCCACCCCACACAGTGACACACTGTTGGGAGCTGCGCAGTCTAGTCTTGGATCAGCATATGACCTGTCCAAAGGGTTTCCTCAGGGCAAGGCACCTATGGAAATGGACTCTCACTTGCCAAGGGTCAGTAGTCCATAGGGCAGCATAGGAATTTACAAAATTCACGCAACTTATATGTTCTTTTCTCTCTCATTATATTGGTGATTCTTTGGGTTGGTTTTAGTTTTACTCTGTCAGTCACACATGCAACAGCTGTATTTTTTTCCTGGAAATCCTGCTCATTTTCAAATATTTTCCTCTAAGATTCAAAAGGGGACTAATATTTCTCAAATCTCTTATCCGGAATTACTAACTATGACTCCTGATCCTGAGAACTTTTCTGACTCAGTATGAAAACAACACTTGTCAGCTTTGGAAAGGAGAGCAAGGCTTACCTACACAGAATAGGGAAAAGGTCTCAGGAATACACATCATGTCAGCTGTTATAAGTAAGTTCCCTGGACACCAATCATATAGAATCAATGATAAGATCGAGTATATTCCAATGGGCAAGAATGCAGTGTAAAATGTGGGATGAAGAGATCCAGCTTTACCATATATAGGAGCTAATATTGGTGAAAGATGTATGGTACAGTGGGATGGGAAGAGTGTTTATCAAAGTCTGCCTTTTATAGTGCGACAGAGACATGGGACCCTTTTGTAGAGAAGGTAACTGTATAAAACGATATCTTGTAGACAGTAAAGAATTGTTTGAGCTTGAATATTGTTGTCCTTAAAGCACTGTACCCATGCCTATTAGTTTTTAAGTTTCTAAACCCAAGTGGCTGTTAGCTGACATAAATGCTGCAAGAGCGGGATGCGTCTAACTCAATATTTAGCTAATCCTGCAAAAATGCTGAGCTCTATGTCTAGAATAAGGTTATGTAAGTGGTGGAAAAGTATATTTGGGGAAGCATAAAGGGGAACAATGAAGGCTTTTCATAAAATACGATGTATTTCATAAAATACGATGTATTTCTTAAGAGTCACAAAAAGGAGCCAATAATAAAGCTGTTCATGTAACCCTGGCAAGAAACAAATACTCTGTTAAAGTATAAATAAAGACAGCTCGAGCTCTTTGGGGTCAATTGAGTGCAATCCACTTGGGAGTCTGAAGTTTTCTTTGCACTGATGTCCCTTCCTCACCTCAGGATCTGAATCAGAGATAAGGCTGAGCCTCCAGCAACACACTTCCTCAACAAGGTCACATTTCCTAATAGTTTCAAACCACCACGATGTGAAAGTAAACTGAGCACGCTATGGAAAGCAAGCCAGTAAGTGTTGCTCCATGGTCTCTGCTTCAGCGCCTACCTCCAGGTTCTTATCCGTGTTCCTGACCCAGTTTCCCTCTGTGATGGACTTCAACTTGTAAGGCAAAGAAACACTTCCTTCCAGTAAGTTTCGGTCAGCATTTCATCATGGCAACAGAGAGGCGAAATAGAACAGAGACATGTCAGTCCTCATTTATTTTTTGACCAGGCATACACTTTATCATGTGTCTTATTCCTTCTGACATGATGGCCATGTTTCTTCAGCTGTCATCACCATTGTTATGGCTTCTGAGGTGTTTCTGAGGGGTAAGAGACTTCCAAAATACAAAGAAAAAAGGAGAAGAAGGAGGAGGGAAGAGGAGGAGGGACTAGGTCTATATGTAGGACATGAGTCTATGTAGGATATGAGTGTGTGTTTAAACCTGACTGCCTCCCAGTGCATCTGTGACTTGACTTCACAAAAGCTTTAGCTTCATTAACAGTGAAAAGAGTTAATGGTCATTCCAAGGCTACAGACACTCACCACAGATCAACTCTCTCAACCCTCCCACTCATCCTATGAGTCATTTCTTTCATTCTGTTTTTGAGAAAACAGATTGGTGATCAGTGAATATGAGTCATCTGATCACTATCACAAAAAAGTGCTAGTAGAGCTGGGATTTGAGGGCAGTATGTGTGGTCCCACAGTTTAACCCTGAAACTCTTGGGCTCCACAAGAGTTGAATGATTATTAGAAACAACTCATCAGTGTATGAATGGGTAAGCAAAAAGTGACATGACCCTGCAATGGAAGTCTGTTTAGCATAGCACAGTAGTCCAGATCTGTCAGCCCAACTATTCAGAAGATTGAGACAGTGTGGGATAAAAGTTCAAAGGTAGTTTTAGCTACAGAGTGATCTAAAGATCTGCCTAGGGGGACTGGAGAGATGGCTCAGTGATTAAGAGCACTGACTGCTCTTCCCGAGGACCTGGGTTCAATTCCCAGCACCCACATGACAGTGCACAACTGTCTGAAAATCCAGTTCTGGGGGATCTGACACCTTCACACCAATGCACATAAAATAAAGTTAAATTAAAAAAAATATGCCTAGGAA